AAAAAAAAAAAAAAATAGCCTAGGGGTGGTGGCCTGCGCCTTTAGTCCCAGCTACTGAGAATTGCTGGAACCTGGGAGGTGGAGGCTGTGGGGAAGCGAGATAGAGCCACTACTCTCCAGCGTGGACAATAGAGCGAGACTCCGTCTCAAAAAAAGAAAACGAAAAACATCGGTTGATAAGGAAATAAGGCTGAAATGTCTGAATTTTATTGTTTCTATCTCGTTTAACTGATGGATTCTATACGTAAAAGTCGGCTTTGAAAAGAATTATTGTACATTGAACACAGTTTTGGTATTATCAACACAGGAACTTAAAAAATACAGATTTAGGAAAAAAATTCTACCTATTATGTATCTCATTACATAATAGGTAGAAACGAACATTTAAAATAATTATGTTAATAATCTTTTAGAGAATACATTTAGAGAATACATTTTAAACACCTTTTGCAATGGGAACTCCACAATAAAGACTGCTGCTCTTAAGAACAAATGCTTTTACTTATAGGTTTTCATTTTTTGATACTCCATATCCAGTAGAGAATAAGCAAGAATAAAGAAGAAAACCTAAGGATATCGTTAGTGGAAACTTTTCTTGATATTACTTATGAAGATGCCTTAAGTCCTATTGCACTGAATAATGACATTTTGGTCAATGATGGACTGCATGTATGTCACGTAAGATTATAATGGAGCTGAAGAATTCCTGTCACCTAGTGATGTCCTAGCTGTCCTAGTGTCGTAGGGCAGCATATTACCTTCTATCTTTGGGTGTATTTAGACACACAAATGCTTTCTACTGTGTTCTAATAGCCTACAGTATGTAATAGAGTAACATGTACGGGTTTGTAACTTGTGTAGTTGGTTACACCATCTAGGTTTGCTTAAGAGCACTTTATAATGTTGGCAGAATGAAGTTGCCTAACATTTCTAAGAATGCATCCCCGTTATTAAGTGAAGCATGACTGTAATTCAGTTATAGCAAGGTTTACAAAGTAAATGATATCTGCACATTTAATGACAGGACTTCCTAGGAGTGATAGAGGAAATTACTGGCAACATGTATGTGAAACATTTGTTATATGTAGAGGAAATGCATAGACTGTAAAATTATGTGGTAGTTTTGCTTAAAGACTGATTAAATAACTATCTCATTGGTCAGGAAGGATGCTTACCTCTCAGAAACCCTTACCAGCAACTCATCCTCTTGTCAGGCTTTTTTTTTTTTTCCTTTGAAGCCTCTCAGTTCTCCACAAATGGGAAGCGTCTTCATGCATGTTTTCTAAACAGTAGTATAACCAGGCCAATTAAATGTCAAGATATTAATAAAATCCTGTGAACTTTTAAGAGTGGAGCCCAATGTGATGCTAATATTTTCCTTGAGAATTTCACAAAATAAACTCAATTTCTTCAAAGTTGTCTTGATAAAGGTTTTTTTTTTTTTTTTTTTTTTTAACATAGCAGACTTAAATATTCTAACTTAGAATAGCAAAACAGTTTATATTCTTAACCTCAATCTTTTTCATTGATAGCACAAAAATGATTTTTTTTTTTGGCTTAGAAATGTTTTTAGCTGGAATGTATATCTTTGCACTGATTACGGTGGAAGTGTTTACCTCTGGAATTATGGCAACTATATTATACATAAAGACTCACATTACTGAATATGGATGCTTGGAATGTTTTTACTCTTAAAATTTCTGGAGGAGTTAAATTAGCCATGTTTCTACACTTAGAAAGATACAGGTTTTGTTCAGATGTGTAAGATAGTACCAATCTGTGTAAGCAAAATAATGGTAAAATTCTTTTCTCTGATCTTAAGCTAATTCAGGTAGTTTACTCTCTCTGATTTACTCTCTAGTAGTTAATGCATTTATCCTTAATATGTAGATAAGTGTTTTTGAAATGTACTTAATGTGCAGTACAGAGCAGGCTGTTGAAAAGAAAAATCTTACAGTGAGCCTAGTCAAGCAAGTAACTCCCCCAAAAGTTTTAAAATTTGGTTTCCTGTCAAGTGGTGGTAGTGGGGGAGGGAGGTATTTGAAAGGATGGAGATAGGCCATGATATTTGGATTTTATTTTTAATTTCCTCCTCAGCAGCTGATTTTGTAGTTCATTGACTCTGAAATAGCCAAAAGCAGGCAGCAGGTGGGAAATGAATTGAAAAAGAGACACTTAGTGAATAGTTAATCCTTTAGTGATTTTAGTAAAGAGTTAAGATTTCTTAATAGCAGGTATCTCAAGCAATTAAATTGGAGTAGCCTTGAATCTGTTTGAGAGAGCCTTCTGAATTTATGTATATTTCATGTTTGAAATATTAAAGACATTTACAAGTGTTTGGAATATTTATTTATGACTATTGCTCTTGGCTATTTTGTTTTTACATGAAAGTGTAATGATTGTTTTTTGAAAGTTACTGTAACTTTGCTTCACAAACTGCATAAGACTAATGGTGTAATTTCATGTTGCTACTTTCTCACTTTGTTTTTCCTGTATGCATCTCCTTCCTCTAAAATGCATAACCATAGCCTCATTCCTGTCAAGTTCAGCTACATGGC